AAGTTCTTCCCGCTGCCCGCCGCCCCGGCTCACGTCCTGGGCCTGGAGGGGCACGAGCTGGAGGGGGCGAGGCTGGGCTGCGACACCCTTGTCTTCCCCTGCATCGGGGCTCTCCCCATGGGATTCTCTTGGTCCCTTTTCCTCGCCCAAGACGCGAACGAGGAGAGGGTCGTCCGGTCTGATCCGTGGCCAGGGGGAGACATGGCAGTCTCGGAGCGGGTCCTGATGAGTGATCGCGGACCGCCGCTCGTCGTGGAGGTTGAGCCCGGGCTGCACGGGGGTGCCTACGTGTACGTCGACAACATGGGGGTGCTCGCCCCCTCGGAGGGCCTCGCCAAGAGCGCCCTCGAGAGCTGGACTGGTCTCTTCGAGGGGGTCGGCCTTGACTTGCACAAGAGCTCGGTGGGCTCGGGCGCGTGCGAGGCGCTCGGGACCAAGCTTGACCTCGAGCTGATGAGGTCGGGCGTGAGCGACGGACGGTTCTGGAAGGTGTACCTGGGACTGGGGGGCCTGCTAGCCCGCGGCCGAGCGACAGGGCGCGCCTTGGAGGTGGTGCTGGGCCACTGCACCTTCTGCGGGCTGGCCCTCCGAGGGTCTCTGAGTTGCTGGCACGCCTCGTACCGCTTCATCCAGCGGCACTACCTGGAGCCCGCCCGGCTGTGGGCAGAAGTCGTAAAGGAGATCAAGATGTTCCGCGGGCTGCTCACCCTGATGGTTCAGGACTGGTGGCGGCCATGGAACTGCTGCGTGCTCCAGACCGACGCGAGCGAGAGCGGCTGGGGCATGGCGCAGTCGTTCTGGCCGCAGCACGTGGTGGAGCAGGTTGGCCGGCTGCCTGAGCGAGCCCGTTTTCGTTCGGCGCTGGGCAGACCGGCGCGAGAGAGCGCGCTCGCTGCCGCCAACCTTGCTTGGGACAGCTCGGGCGCCCTGTGCAGTTTTGAGGACATGAAGAATCCTGACTCTCTTGCGTCTGACCCCCTGTCCTCGTGGGAGCTCGACCCCGGGTTCGCTGAAGTGCCCTGGCAGTGGCTCCGAAAGGGGGCCTGGGAGACCGTCCGGTCCGGGGTCTGGCGTTTTGCTGAGGACATCCTGATCCTTGAAGCCAGGGCCCTCGTAAAATCGATCCAGCGGCTGGCAAAGACCGCGCACGGGGTCTGTGTGCGACAGCTCTTTCTGTCCGACAATATGTCTGTGGTGCTATCCTTTTCCAGGGCTCGTTCGTCCCGCTTCAGCTTGCTGGTTCAGATCCGTCGATTCTACGCCTATGCGATTGCGTTGGGGATTACGCCCGCTATTCGATGGATCCCCTCGGAGTTTAATGAAAGCGATGAAGGCAGCAGGGTTTTTTCTGAGAGTGACAGTAATATTCTCACATCCCTCTTGGATGAGAAGTTCCAGGCCGATCTGAATCTGCTCACCCGTCCTCCAAGAGCCGTCCCTGTGAAAGACAATACGCGGGATCCTCTCCGTAGCCGTTTTGGCCCACACCATTCTTTCTTGGCTGAGATTCCCGAGGCGCCCGACTTGCCAGAGACGGCGGGCCATGGCCCCCGAGAGGGCTCGGGTGCTGGCCAAGCCGGTGCCGCAGGCGCGGACGCCCCCCCAGCGGGCAGGCGCTCGGCGGCCGGCCGCACGGACTCGTGCGCTGGCAGGCGCGGCAGCGCAGGCGGGCTCGCGCTCGGACCCGAGCGGTGCGAGGGCGATCGCCAGCCCCGGGGCGCTGGGCCGGACGCGGGTGCTGGTGCCGGCCCCCCTCTTGCCTTCAAGGAAAAGGGCCAGCCAGGCTGGACGGCATCTCTCGGCCCTCGACGAGAGGGACGCGAACGGGCTGGACCTCGCTGGAGACGCCGGGGAGGACGCCGAGGGCGACAGCAGCTCCAGCGGCTCCGACTCGGTGGTGGAGCAGCTGGGGCGGACTCGGGCCCGAATGCGGCAGCTGCGCGCGCGGAGGGCGCACCGGCGGGCGAAGCTGTACGCCGATGCTATCCTGGCGGCGCAGGGCGAGGGCGTGAGCCTCCTGGAGACCTTGGCGGTGACCCAGGCGACGCAGGTGAGGTACCAGCGATATCTCGATCGTTTCTACTCTCGTGCCGGCCTGAGCCGGAGGGAGATCCTGGCGAAGCCGGACACGGAGATCGACGAGCTCATGTGCAATTACATGACCGAGAAATACTTGCAGGGCGAGCAGAGCAACTACGGAGACCAGACGGTCGCGGCCTGGGTCAGCGCGAACCCGGACTTCGGGCGCGTGGGAGGTCGCAAGCTGCCGCGGACCTGGCGGGCGCTGAAGGCCTGGCGCAGGCTGACTCCGGGCAGGCGGCGGAAGGCCCTTGCCCTTCCGGTCTGGTGCGGGCTGGCCTGGAGGCTGGCGCAGCGAGGACACCTACGCCTGGGCATCTTCTTGATGATAGGCGTATCGATCTATGGTCGGCCCTCGACTTTGCTGGCCGCCCGGCGGTGCGACCTTGTGCCTCCGTCCCCTGGTGTCAGCCGGCACTGGGCTCTGTTGACCCACCCGCTGGAGCGGAAGAGGCCGAGCAAGCGTGGGCACTTCGACGAGGGCTGCCCCCTGGACTCGCCGTACCTCCAGGGCTTAGACGAGGTGTTCGGGCGGCTGGCCTCGACGACGTCGAAGGAGCCGCTGTGGAACTTCAGCTACCCCGAGGCAGCGACGCTGCTCAAGGAGGCGGCAGAGGACCTCGGGGTGGCCCCAGTGACATTGTACCAGATGAGACACTCGGGCGCCAGCATCGACCTGGCGAAGGGCTGGCGCAGTCTGACCTCGGCTCAGCGACGCGGGGAGTGGACGCAGGCGAAGTCAATGCACCGCTACGAGCACAGCAGCAGGCTCGGCAGCGACTATGCAAAGCTCGACCCCCGGCTGCGCGCGACGTGCGAGGAGGCGGAGAGGCAGCTGGCGCTCATCCTGACGGACCGTCCCCACAACGTGCAGATGTGGCGCAAGTGAGCCAGCTACACCTGGGCTACCGAGGAGGCCGCTCCCGTGGCCGCCTTCGCCGCTCGCGCCTCGGCAAGGGCCAGTACCTCGGCGATCTTTTCGCAGGCTGCCGAGCTGTGTCTCGGGCAGCCGAGGCCGAGGGCTTCCGTGCGAGAAGTTGGGACGTCATCTATGATGCAGAGTGGCAGGATTTGTTGTCGCCGGCCGTGCTGCGGGCGATCAAATCTGACGCTCGAGCTGGCCGGCTGGTGGCCGCGGCAATGGCCCCTCCATGCCAGACTTTTTCCCTCGCGCACGACAGGTCGAGGCCGGTGCGCAGCCGCGAGAAGCCATGGGGCTTCCCTGCCTCCGAGCTGACGCCTGCCGATGCCGAAGCAGTGGAATTAGGCAACCGCCTCGCTCGGGTTGCGCTTTCCCTCTTCAGATTCTTTTTGAAGCTGGGGGTTCCCGTAATCCTCGAACATCCCTTGACGAGCCGGCTGTGGCATACTGCTGAAGTGTGCGACTTATCGCACCATAGACATGTCTATCTGGCTGAACTGGACCAGTGTCAGTATGGAGCAAGATGGAAGAAGCCCACACGGCTCCTCTGTGCACACGTGAATCACGAAGATATAATTAAGCTCACCCGTCGATGCCGACCAAAAGGCTGTATATGTTCTAAGACTGGGAAACCCCATTGGCAACTCAGCGGCGGGGGGCCAGGCGGCCTCCGCCGTACCCGCATTGCTTCTGAGTACCCTCCTGGTCTGGCACGAGCAATGGTCTCTACCCTTTTAGCTAGTACTGTTGAAAAGCGAGCTTGTCACTCCCACCCTTTCTCTCCCCACCCTAGCGAACATCCTACCTGGATAGCTTCGGGATGATTTGGGAGATTGAGTTTTAAGGCATGCCTTTAAGCTCAAAGCCTCTGGCCATGACGAGTCCAGAGTTTCGCTAGATTCAGTCTCCGCAAGAAAAATGGGACCGTTGCTCTGGAGGTTTTAGAACGGGTTGAGCAGAGGGGCCATACGTGTGATGTTGGGCAAATAGAATATGCTGCCTGTCACTGGTGTGCACTCGCCAACACCCTGCTGCCTATCTCCGCTCAAGTTGTTTTTGGTCTCCCGCCCCCCCAACCCTCGGGGAGATTGAGTTTTAAGGCATGCCTTTAAGCTCAAAGCCTCTGGCCATGACGAGTCCAGAGTTTCGCTAGATTCAGTCTCCGCAAGAAAAATGGGACCGTTGCTCTGTTGTTTATGATGATGGTGATGATGATGATGATGATGATGAGGGGGAGGAGGAGGAGGATGAGGAGGAGGAGGAGGCGGAGGAGAAGGAGGAGGAGGAGGAATCTGATAAGGACGACCATTGATTGGCTGGGCTGTGGGCGGACCTGTAGCTCTGCTGAGATCGCGGCCTAAGGAGGCGGCGGGCGCGGCCGAGGGTCAGCGCAGACTACGTTGACGAGGGCGCGATCAATGTTAACACTGTGCGTGGCCACCGCTTTGTATAGCTGTGGGTCGCAACGAGGTGTGACCACTTGCTTTTCGAGAGGATCGCCAGAGAAGGGTGGCCACTTCGCCCCGCTTTGGAACCACATGCTTCGACCACTTCTGAGGGTGCAGGAGCTTTAACCGCGGAGACTGCTTCGGGTACCGACGGGGGATGCAGGGCTCGAGTGCGATTTTCGCCTCGGACTTCCGTGCCGCCCAGTGCTGAACCATCTGAAATGATGATGTTGATGATGCTGTTGTTGCTGCTGATGATGATCATGGTGGTGATTGTGATGATGGTGATTGTGATCATGATGATGATGATGATGATGATGATGCGGATGATGATGAGACGGAGGAAGATGATGATGGTGATGGTGATGATGACGATGATGGTGATGACAGGTGATGGTGATGGTGATGGCGATGGTGATCGCGGTGGTGGTGGTGGTGGGGAGGGGGAGGAGGAGGAGGAGAAGGCGGAGGAGGAGGCGGAGGAAGAGAGTTGTAGTCGTCGTCGGCGGCGGCGGCGGTGGCTGCCCCGTGCGGCCTGGCGCGACTCCAAGGTCGCCCCGCTGGACCGCCTCGGGTCGATCCACGCGGTGAGGAGCAGGCGGACCGCTGGGGAGCTGTGGCAGTGCTCTTGGATGAGGGGGAGGATCGGCGATCGCTGGCCTCTCCGCCCACGGAAATTGAGTCGGGAACTGTTTGGTTGCAGGGAGGCTTCCCCCTGATCTGAAAGCATGGCCTGATTCATAGGGTAAGGCTGGGTCGCTTCCTGTCGGGGCCTTCGGTGGCAGGATGGAGCCACCGCTCGGGGTGACAAATATTTCTTCTTTTGCAAACGGCCCAGCATCTTTCCTCCTCTGTCAGAGGCTCTGATTCGACCTCTTCCCCCGTACGCAGGCAAGAGGCAAGAGACAAGAGGCGGAGGGGGGAGGTGGAGTGGTGGCAGACCTGATGCAGGCTCGGACTATTTGATAGTTCTCCAGCTTGGCGTCGGGGGCCGTTGGGGAACCAGACGCTCCTCCTCCCGCATCTTCCTTTTCCTGCTTTCCCTCTTCCTCCTTCTCGCTCCTCCTCTTCCTTCTCCTCCTACTCGTCTCCATCCTCTTCCTCCTCCTCCTCCTCCTCCTTCTCCCTCTCTTGCTTGTGGCGCCTCGTGTCAAGCCAGAGGGCTAGCAATCACTGAACACACCAACACACATTTTTCCAGGTCAGAGGGCAGGTCATCACGGTAATCAAATACGGTAGTCAGGTTTAATTTACAATATTTTGTTGCCCTCGCACCTGGAACGCATGCCTTTTTGCAGTGGTTGCTGGTACGAGCCCGCTCGTGCGGCATCCTTCGGGGGCCTTGTCATTCAGTCTGGTGGCGCTCAGGCTGCACCCAGTCTGGCGGTGTAGGCAGGAGGAGGAAGAGGAGGAGGAGGAGGAGGACGAGGAGGAGGAGAAGGATTCCCCGTACCTTCCAAGGGTCTTATGTGCGTGTGTGTCTTAGCCAGCGTGGGCCCCAAACAGTGCACTTCTAGCAATACATGGTATGCATTCTATGTGGTGCAAACTATGTTGTACAATCGGTGTCGTGCAATCTGGGCTGCGCAATCTATTTGGGTGTAACCTAGGTAGTGCAATCTATGTGTTCCACTTGTTGACGCTTCGCGTACTCCCACCCGCCCTCACTTTCGATCGTGGCAGGCTGCTTTGCGACTTTCTGACGGCGTGCGACTCTTCCGCTTCGCATGCGATCAAACAAGTATCCCCACCAGCCCATCCAGAAACGATGCCCAGGGGAGTTGAGGTCACCAGGGAACTTGAGGATCATGCAGACGAACAACGGGCGGGGGAAGCCGCCATATACCCCAAGATGGGGAGGATGGAGGAGGAATCGTTGCCGTCGTCGTCGTCGGATTAGGAGGGGGAGGAAGAGGAAGAGGAGGAGGAGGAGGATGAGGAGGAGGAGGAGGAGGAGGAGGGCGAGGACGAGGAGGACGAGAAGGAGGAGAAAGAGGAGAAGGAGGGAGAGTTGGGTACCTCGGGGATCTCTTGAGACCTCGTATGGGGTCTCTTGGGGGCCTCTTGGAGGCACGTTGGGGCCGTCTGGGTGCCTCTTGGGGCCCTATTGGGGCGCTCTTGGGAGCTTCAGGGGCGCTCTTGGGGCCATCTGGGAGGACATCGATCAAAACAGAGGCGAACTCCAATTACGCTCCCCGCTCGGGAGCACCGAAATCGCTTCCTGGACCCCCCTTGGAGCGCTCTTGCGGCGCTCTGGTGCGCTCTGGCGGCCGTCTCGGACTCTCTTGGGCCTCTCCTGGGGCTCTCTTGGACCATCTTGGAGCCATCTTGAGGCCTCGGATGGCCATCTTGAGGCCTCGGATGGCCATCGGAAGCGAAACGGCGAGAAAGCAATACTCATTGTTTTGTTTTTTTTAAAGTTTTTGGACGACTGTTGGAGGCCCCGAGCGTTTTGGGGGCCTCCTTGGAGGTCTCGAACGCCTCTTGGAGCCGTCTTGGAACGTTCTTGTGGCCTTTTGGAGCATCTTGGGGGCCATCTTGAGGCATCGTGCGCTATCTTGAGCCATCTTGGAGCTTATCTTGGACTCCCAGGGGCCCTCTTGGAGCCGTCCTGGGCCATCTTGGACGCTCCAACGCCTCGCCGCCCCCCCCGTTCAGGTCCAGGGGAGGGGTCAAGACACCCTCCAGATAGCAAGCCGTCTAGCTCACTCCCACCCGCCCTCCCAACACATAAGTGACACCCGAACCTCAGCATGTTCAGCGGACGTCTTTGGATGGACAGCTACCACGAACCAACATCGAGCCCATATGCGCGACGCTGGGGCGAGGTGCGCCACGCGCGCCAGGTACCCCTGGGGCCCGAGCGTGCCAGGCACGCCTGGTGCGCCAGATGCGCCACGTGCTTCCGCTTGCGCCAGGTGTGCCGCATACCCCAGCCGCGCCAGGTGCGCCACGTTCGGGCCACGTGCAGAGTGTGGAAGGTGCGCCTGCGCACGTGACAGCACACATCGGGAAACATGTCGGCCCCCACCATCGCTGTAGAAAGCCAATGCGCGTCATTGTGTCGGGTGGGCCTGCGCACAGCAGGCCACCAGAGGGCTGGTGGGATCAGTTTCTGTTCGCAGTGAACTGTCAACTCCGCTGCTCGCGCAATCATCTCATCCACCCACCCGCACTTCTGTTTGCAGAGCCCATGCAGCGGCGATTGCGATGACTCCTTGGCTGCGCTTGGTCGCATGTGATGAACATGTTGGCACAATTGTTTTCGCAGGGGTCGCACGGGCGCGCGCGCAGATTTGATTGAGACATTCTGCTGCAGCACTATTGTTTTTTGTATGTTTCTGGGAAGCCGATCTAGGAAACCCACGGGTTGTAAAGCATTTCGGCATGCGCGCGCGGCGGTGCATGCGTGTTGTTTTTTTCATCTGCCGCAGGGTGGTTTTGAACATTGCTGATGTTTGATAAGCGCGCGTGTGTTTATTTGACGAGGACGATGGGGGGGCGGCCGATATGGGCACTGCCTGGAATGGTATGCGTTCTCTTTTGATATGAAGAATGTAGTATCATCATATGTGCATTGCATGATCCCTGGGGGACCTGCGAAGACCAGGGGGAGTATCTATTCTTAATATGGGGAAACTCACGTAGTGCAATCCAGGTTGGGCAACATATGTGGCGCAATGTATGTGGAGCAGTCTACTTGGTGCATTTTGTGTTGTGTAACATCGGTGTTGCAACATGTAGGTATGTGTGTTCTTTTCCGTATGCAAACATATATATACATATATAGATATATGGTGCAGTCTTTCTGGGGCAAATATGTGGTGCAATTCGCCCTGCCGATATTGAAGTTGACACTTCAATTGTTCGCGCAAACATCCCACCCACCTACCCGCAACTTGGTTTGCCAAACTCATGCGGCGGCGATTGCCATGACTGCTTGGCGGTGGCTGGCGAGTCGTTGCGCCCGCGATCGTGCGCAGGCTCGCGCGCACAGCGGCCAGCTAGTCTGGCGCAACCGACGCAGTTGAAATAGCGTTGCCCGCTGGGGATTTCCAAAAGCGTACCGCCGGCCGCGCTGACGCGTGGGCATTTCTGTGCGAATCGGTGACTTGGGTTGGCGCGGCATCATGGAGACGTCGACGTGGGCAGACACGATGATGATAGTAACGATGCCGGTGACGACAGCGACAACGACGCCTGCACAACCAGTGGTGGCGCCGATGGTGATCACGCCTATGACGATGATGGTGCCCACGTGTCGGCGATGAATGTTTCGGAGGGATTTCGACATGCGCGCGCGGTCGACAGGCGCGAGTGACCTGCATAGTGTTATTTGAAAAGGATTGCGCCCGCCACCCCCGAGCGCGCGCGCAAGGGTGCTTGAATGGTTTCGACATGTGCGCGAGAAGCCCGCTTGGCCGCATTTGATGAAAGTGTTAAAACATGTATGGTTAGCGCAATCATTTTGCAACAGCGTTTTTTGAAGCATGTTTTTGCAATTAACTCGTTGTTTCTTTAGTGATATTTTGCCGGGGCAGTAGATTTTGAAACGGGCAGGGGACCTACGGATTGTGATGGGTTTCGGCATACGCGCGCGGCGCCGCGCGCGCGCGTGCGTGCTTCGTTTCGCTTTTCGCAACGTATTCTTTCAACATGATGATGTTTGATAAACGGGTGCGCGCGCCGATGTTTTGTTCCGATGAGGATGATCAGCGGGGGCATGTCGAACCCTGTTTTACTAGGACGATAGGAACTCGTATTTGAATTGAGTGGTGGGGCAGGATCATATGTGCAATGTGCATCCCCAAGGGGGGTGAATCAGTGGTTGGGGGGAGGATGGTAGGTAGAGCTTAATTCTCTTCTAGGAAAGGAGAACCTATGTGGAACAATCTGTGCGATGATGCGGCGACGGCGAAAACATAGCCGCCAGACCGCCAGCTAGGCCCCGACGACGGGTGGCGACCAGGCAACGACGGGGCGGCGACGGCGATCACGGAGGCGCCAGATTGCCAGGCAGGCCGAGAAGACGGGCGGCGACGAGGCGGCGACGGGGCGGTGACGGCGACCACGCAACCGCAAGACTGCCAGACAGGCACAAGTTTTTAGATCCGAGGTAAAAGCACGCACGTGCAAACATTTGGGGGAACAGGTCTTAAAAATTATGTTTGCTAACGTGGACCGCACACAATCTGTTTCTAGCAGTGTATGGTGTGATATCTAGGAGGGCCAATCTATGTGGTGCAACGAACGGGGTGCAATACACGTTGTTCAATATCGGACGTGCGTGTTGCGCAGTAGATGTTGTGCAGTCTAGGTGGTGCAATCTATGTTGTGCAGTCTTGGCGGCGACGGGGCGGCGACGGGGCGGCGACGGCGAACACGGGGCCGCCAGACTGCCAGGCAGGCCCAGATCTTCAGAGGATTGATGACGAACCCGTAACTGCAAACATCGTTTGGGGAACGGGTCCTCAGAATTATGTGTGCCACCGTGGGCCACAAACACTGTGTTTCTAGCGGTATGGGTTGTGCATTCTGGGGAAGCCCAACGATGTGGCGCAATGGGCGGGGTGCAATCCATGTTCTGCAACATGAGATGTGCGTAGCGTGTAATCTAAATTG